AATATGTTTTCTTATCTAGATTAAGATAAAAAATATTTTTCTCATCTTAAATGAAAACAAACATATTTTCTTGTCTAAATTAAGACCAAACATGGTTTTTTGTCTAAATTAAGACATATCATATTTTCTTGTCTAAATTAAGACAAACATGTTAAAACTATCATTTTTGTATGCAATTTAATTAATCAAACAAAACATGCATTTCAACTTAAACGAGTTGAATTCTATGAAGCTAAGTGAGGAATCTATTTGGACATAGATACTCCAAGCTCCAATAAACTTAGAATTATTCATAATCTCATTAAAAATAATTCAAGCTAATTAACCATGAAATCACTCCACCATAGATTTATGGTTACACTTTTGGATTAACTATAATTACAAGAAATAATTCAATACTTGATATTAATTATTAGTTGTCCAATTGCAAACCTTATATTGTGAACCATCATAACCATCCAATGACAAAAGGTGAATTTACTGTTTCACCCATTATGTCAATTTTATTCCCTAGTCTCAAATTTCATTCAATTAGTAATTCAATTCTCTAGATCTAATCTTTTAAGCATCTAAATGTGATGAGTTGCTAATTCATCAATCCACTGAGCCTAGATTAATCACCAATCTTCCTAAAATCACTAAAAGTGATGTTAATGCTATGAACTCTATTATTTGAATATATATTCCTAGATGTTCATCTTAATTATAATCCCAATATACAAAGTCTAGATCAACGGTTTATGATGATTATGCTCATGGTATATCAAAGATTATAAGGAGATTAAACATGAGTCCACTATCCATTAGAATTTAAGTTTTACTATAAACAGATGCATAAGTGTGAGATCATGATTTAAGTAAAGGTTAAACTTAAATTTGATTACCACATTATTCTAGTTCATGTTATAGTGTCATTACCCAAATTCAACCATTTCGATAATTTAAGACTCATCATTGCATTGAAGTGAATCACATTCATTTTGTTGGAACTAATCTGGACATTATAGCCTTAACACAATAAAGTGACTATTTTTTTATATGGTTGTGAACAATTTTAAGATTCAATTAAAATATATGTCTCTTATGTATGACTCTTCATACAAATGTATTTTAATATCTCAATAAAATCATGGTACGTTAATAACTAGATAATGAATGCTTACT